AACATCAATGCCCAGCAACGGTACATAGCCCGTGGTAGAGCAAGGATCCTGGTTGGCTGTGGTCACGATTCCCACGCTTTTGGTTTCAGGCGAGTAGCCAAGCCATCCCCATCCAGATCCTTGTACACCAGCCGACTTGGCCGCCATATTCTTTTTGAAAACATCAAAACTACCAAAAGTCTGATCGATAGCCTTGCGCAACTCTCCTTCAGGTTCACTGCCACCACCCTGGCCCTTGGGCGCTAGATTGGTCCAAAAAATGGAGTGATTTACGTGGCCACCGCCATTAAATTTAAGTGCTTGTAGAAGTCCAAGTAGCTTCGCGTGGTCACCCTTACTTTCAGCCTCATCGTACTGTTCCAGTGCGGCGTTGTAGTTGTTCACGTACGCTTGGTGGTGTTTTTGGTGGTGGATCTCCATAATCTGACCCGAGATGGAAGGCTCCAATGCACCGAAATCATAAGGAAGATCCGGTAGAGTCACAGAGGAAGTAGAACGCGTACCGATAGCGCGCAGGCTAGCGGCGCGGCGGGCAGAGGGGGCAAGGCGTTGGACAAGCATGAATTCGGCAATTGGTTACCACACGAATAGTAACTACGTGAATTTATGTAAACTGATAATGACTAATACTCGTCATCCAGTAGTATAGTGTGGTCGGCACAAGTTTATCGACGCGACTTATATGTATATGAAGTGGAGTGGTTAAATGATAAAATAACAGCTAAAATGCTACAATGACAGCTAAAACGAATAATCGTGATAGCGAAATTTGCGCATGATTCGGTGGTGGATCGAGAATTTTACGTCTCCTCGCTAAAGACCTACCAGCCGTTTACTTTCCTCGATGCGAAGCCAGCCCACAGGATACACTCATTACCAGTAATTTAAGGTGCCATTTGGGGCTATCGAGATACATAGCGCAAGATGCTGGTGAAATTTTTGCAGAATCGGGGATCATATTCACATGTCACCGTATCAACTTTCAATGCTAAGATTGACAACATAGACACGACAGAAACCAGAATGATCCTTTCACAAGGCTTAATAATTCCGCGAGAAGATCCCTAAGGAACTTGTAAGTGTAATGGAGTACGTATCCCATAATGGCATATGAACACCTTTACAAAGCTTAGAAGTCCAATAATGAGCTACCATGATGAAGTAGGATGCCTATCTTTCTAACAGGGCTGCTGTGCACCTTGCACAGAGAAAATTTCGACTCAAATAGCTTGCATTACCAATCATATAAAGGCTGGGCTCATATGCTCTTGTCAGGACCAAAATTGAAGGACTATAACGTAACTAAGGGCCTAGGTTGCTTTGCTATTTTAAGAGTGGCGTGAGAGCAGAGTTAATTTATTGAGAATGACGTAAAGTGTAACGGGTTCCATGTGCCCTGATATAAAGTGTGTGGATCACACACGATGGTGTGACCACACAGTGGTGCGGCTACACTTTGACAAGAAGACAGTGCGTGGCTGGAATACCAACAAATATACATTAAATTAGGTCTTACTATATAGATATGAAGACCTATATTTATATACAGGCGGGGTTGCCGCAAATAAGACAGATAAATACAGTTTACGTTCTAAACGGAAGAGTAAATTAGCCTGGAGTTGAGGTCGTAATTACTCTCGGAGTAAGTGGATTGCAATCCGCTACATTCGTACTAGTTCTAAGTATAGAACGAAGGTCACCGACCTTAACCAAGCTTCCTCAAACTGAAAGAGTTAAGGCAGCCCTGCTGCACTTGGTAGCCCTTGTAGTCAATCTACACCTGAGTCGCTACGACTAACCATCTGTGAGGATGAAACAGCTCTCTTATTTGCCCCATAGCATGCAGGACGGGCACAATAAGTTAATGTCCTTGCTTGGCCCTAAAGGGAGTGCAACATCTTGCTTCGCATGAACACGAATCGATTTGCGCGCACCTAAAGGCGTTTTCAAAGCTAGCTATGAATATACTCCACTAGAGCACCTACAGCAGAAGATGTCAGCGTCGACAGCGTCTATGACGCCACTGTCGAGTACGAATGACTTATCCGACCCAGGCCGCTCATCGTGAGTGTAAAGAACTTCGAGGGCAAAGATGGGGACAATCTACTGGTCTGGATGAGAAAGGCCAAAATGGCTATGATTTCCGCAATACTCCAGACCGAGCAACAGGACGTGGCGCTAGCTATCTCCGAGCTCGGTGATCGAGCGCGAGAATGGGCACTGACGTGCGGTACTTCGGCCGAAGCGGCGTTTCCCGCCTGGTAGAAGCTGAAGCTGCAGCTGTTACGAGTGTTCTCGCCGCCTGACCAGTCATATCGCTTGCGATCGTGTTTTCTTGTTGTCTGACAAGCCAAGAGGAGATTTGTGGATTTTGTCCAAGCGCTGCGTACTCTCATTGATGGTATAGCAGCCAACCCTCTCCCCGAGGCGATAACAGTGATTGTCTTTATGAGGAGCCTCCACACTGGAGCGGCCAGCTTCCGTGTACATCCGTCTTATCTTGAAGAAGCTTTGAGTGTGGCATTGAACGCCGAATTTAAATTTAAGTCGGCACCCTTGGTTTGAATGCACACCCTCAGAGCTCGTCGAGCGAACCCGAGCCGATGGATCTTGGCTGTGCTGAGGACAAG